CGACAGGACATAGACTCGAGGATACCGATTGCTTCGAGCTTGGTAGAAATTGGATATTGCGTACGCCAGTACTGTCCGTTTGGGCCAGACTAATGCAAAGAGCTTTTCTAGTGGGCCGATTTGGATGCGTTTTGTTTAATCTCTTCGACTGTCACCACAAATGCTGCATGTAGAATCTAGACTGACCACTACCTTCGCAAGAGACGATTCATGAACCCACCATGGAATTCAACGTATTATTATGTGAATGTCGCGGAACTGAGTTATTAAAATGGCTCAATACTCAAATCAATATGATAGAGAATAAAGAAAGCGTTTGATGCAGTGACGCAACGGTTACTACCTCTGTCCGGAAGTAGTTGCAACATTCAGAATAATTTAATAATGAGAGTCAAGATTATCAAAATATCGAAAACTAAAGGTATGCTTTGATAGAGGAGTTTAAGGTGAATACGAATAAACTAATACCGTCCCAGAGTACCCTCAATCGAAAGAGTAAATCAAGAATCCAAGTTTATTACTTTATCCACGATATCCACGATGTAACGTATTTATCCGGAGTGCGGCAAAGTTTGATACTTTATCCTATATACTTTGGATGTAACAATTCTATCCGGAATTGGGTTCCACCCTTATCCGGTTTATCCGTAGTATCGTACATTTTGTCCGGTATTTTCACATTATCTGCACCCATGAGTGATTCCTTTAGATTTGGGTAACAACAGTCATATGAGCAATTCGTACCACGTCGAAATCGTTGAAATACTATTCAACATGTTCCAGGTGAATTACTCGCGAAATTTGTTGCAACCATTTTCGGAATTCAACAATCTCAAATGTTGCAACTACTTTCGGACAGAGGTAGTAGTTCGATGGCATCCAAGATAATTGAGGAAGTGCCAGGGGTTCAAGCCCCTGGCAGCGTCGAACTTTTTCCAATTTCGGAAAAAAAATTGCATTCAAATTTGAGGTGATTTTATTCCAGTAACGTTACAGCATTAGCGCGACCAGGCTGTCATTACCAAAACAAAGCATGGACAACATCCACCAGCTATCCGAGGGAAGAGCCCACAACGACACTCACTGATGCGTCCATCGCGTCGGCGTGGTACCAATGGCCTTGGCTGCTCGGCGCCTTCACCCTGTACCCGCCGAGGCGCTCAATCCCTCCATCACATCGGCAGCCACTCCGGCTTCCAAGGCCAGGGACGATTGCTGCATCGGCAGCAATGACCTCAAGCACGTGAGTTGTCAAACACATCATCAGATCTTGAATGACGCGTGTGCTTGTAGCGCTGCCATGGTGCACCCCATTCATTGGATCCATCAAACGAAGGAAAGCGCTTTCCAATCGTTTTGGAGTGGATGGACAAAACTTCTAGGATCATCGCGTGAAAGCCCCAAAGTTGCAGACCGGTGGCGGTGGAAGCAATCGTCAACATCCTAGTTCAAGGAGCAGTCGCATGGCATCAGCTCCGGACTATTCCCCACCGGGCAACCAGCAAATCGCGAGCCTCGATTGAGCTCTAATTCTGGCAGTACCCAACACCCGATGTATCCTTTGTCCTTCATCCATTTGATCGTTGACTTGCAAGTCATTTGAGATAGGGCGCCATACATGAATACCCAGTCGTTTGCATGTTTGGTGTTTTTCACCACTGCTGCCGACGTATCGATGATGTGCTGGACCAAGTTTGTCACACAGACGCTGGAGTTGAGCGACGTCGACTTCATGTTCGTTGCCTTCCACGTTGTTCCAAATAGGGATTCGTACGGATTGGAGTCTTTTTTGTGGTTGACCAACGCAGCTACATCCCAGGACGAGGATCTTTTGTAGTATCCCGCAAAAACATCAGATTTTTTTAGGAAATACCTTCCACACATTAACACGAGTTGCTTGCGAATTATAGGCTTCATATTTACCTTTAACACGTGCACTTACGGCGTGGATCTCTTCGTTTGTCAAGTTTGAAATGTCGCCAACCGTCTTGACTTAGAACTTACTCAGTTGCACTTGTAACTGCGTTCCAATTCCGCGAAGTCGTGTGACACAATCACCAAGATTAATTCCAATAAAAATACTACTGAGAAATTCCAGCAAAATTCTCTTGAATAATTCCAATAAAATAGTATTGAGAAATTCAAACAAATTACTATTGAGTGTCAGAATTAACAATAATGTATTTATTAATAGAAGTTACCATCTTCGATTGTTCGATGCCCAGTAACCCACGAAGCGTTGTTTCCGGGTAAATCCTTTACTCGGCGAACTTCAAGGGCAACCAGGACATCGATCTCGTCAATCGTCCGGGCCCACTTCCCTGTGTACACAAAGGGCGCACATCGGCGACCTTCTTGTGTCCCAACGTTGTCCACAACACAACACCCAAACGAGAAGCACGTCAGATAGGTGTACTTCGCGTTTAAATACGACTTCTAGGGGGCTAGCGTCCCGTCTTCGTCCCATTGCCGCAATTCGTTTCGAGAGAAACGCCGGTACATAGGGGTGACAACTGGTTTCAAACGGAGTTAATTGCTGTACACAGCATTACGGCCAACATGCACACGGTCGTAAACAGCTCGATACTCGTTGGCCATGTGCGTCGTTTAGGTCAACCCCATGCCAAGTTCCATGCAGTCAGCAACGATTTGGCTCTCGCATGTGTGCAATGCGATCATCTTGTTCAATCCACCGTACTGGGCACCTCTACCGTCGTAATCCACGCCTTGCTTGCAACGGTCACGTGCGTCTTCAAGCACATTAAGGACAGAGTACCTTAACCCTCTGGGCATCTTTAACTGCTGCATGATGGTGTACACAGTGCCAAGTCGTTCAGTCCACTCGGACGATGGTGGTGCGTCGATAAAGTAGAAAAGTAGATGCCCCATGCAACACGGCGTACTTTGTAGGAGACAACCATTCGCGAACCCGTAGGGATACTCTTGTTGCGATCAGCTTTGGTCGTCGACCTTCGCTTTGTTGGCTTTGCCAGGCCGCTGCCACGGCGCTCATGGGTTACTAGTACTATGTATGTAGTAGTAGTAACAAATACCATAATTTAATTGTCAAATTTCACACAATGATTTATTTTATTGTAAGTTGCAAGTATAATACTAGTATACTAGTAGGTGTCATAAAAATACTGGCTAATAAAATTCCTTCCTATTCGCGCCGAAATTTCATTTCAAACCTCATTGACAGTGAATAGCGTACTTTTTCAGGCAAAATAAAACCACTCATGGACTATAGGTTAAACTCCTCAATTCAAATATATATTGAGTTTCAGAAAACACCTCCTAGGGCAAAAGTTATGGGAGTCACAAAGTTTGCTTAACGTTAGTTCCGCCACGTTATTTTACTGCTAGTGTGAAAGTGTGAATTCTGCAAAATTCTCGTGGTTTGTCGAATCAAAATTGAATCGCGCTGGAGTTCTGATTGGTTGATATACTTCTCCTTTCTGTAAATACTTCGCTCATTTATATTTTGGTGAAATTTAATTCTCTAGGAAGTTGTGCACCATTCAAATATAATCATGGATGAAATTCAAAATATACATTAATACATTGAGTATTATAATTCAATCAATATTAATACTAAGCCCAACGTATCTCCAATCGTTCAGGAAATACTGTTGATCCACCCAGAAAGTCGTTTCTTTCTAATCCACGGTATCATTATTGCATACAAATCACAAATATCATCTAAAAAACGCTTCATGAATTATATTTCGATAATTTGGGCTACTGGAGGGTGAGAGAAAATGGTCATATAAGAACGAACTGGATGGAGCTGGTTCCTATAATCGCACTGTTGTATTATTGTCGATTTGATACACATTTGGGGAGGGGGTGCAATCAAATCACGCCGACCAAACCGATCCACAATCGATCTGATTGGTTGAATTTAATTTAGAAGGTTTTGATTGGATAATAATTTTGAGCTCATCTGAAGTAGCCAATCAAATCGATTTAAATTCCAACGAGAAACCACGCCACACCACGAAATTGCACTCGAAAGCACAATATCGGATTAGTTTACCTACTTCACCTGATTGTTGACAGAAAGCTTGGTCGTTGCATCTTCGATGGTGATTTGGTCGTCACCCGTGCTCCATGGAAGCGCATTTTTCTTCACCCTTTCATGATTATTATCATGGCGTGAATAGAATTTTTTAAAATAACACATCAAAACGATATTACAGTACTATTAATATCTATATATATGGATAATAGTGGAAATACGACAAATTCATCCGTTTTGATTGGTCAAAGTTCAAGATACAATTGTAACGGTACAAATCCTGGTCAAGAGCAGTCTGGAGTTGTTCCAAAGCCAGGCCAAAACGTAGCCGACGCCACGTTGCACCCGTCCCACTACACTGTATCTGAAACCCCGAAACCCCTCATTTCTCTCGCAAAACAGCTTTAACGTCCACAAATCTGCCCTGTGGGGGTGGTCGCTACGCTCCATACAACATATTGAATTACAATACACCTCTTGTCTCTTGTTCACTTACAAATTTCTTAATCTAGTCGCTTCCTATGGCCAACCTCTTGGAGTAGACGAGCGTTCGACTTGGTAACCCAGAATAGCCACTTCAAACTGGTGGTACGATAGGTACTTGGTGAATGTCATTGCCGAGGTCAGACGCTCTGAGGAGTTAGTTCTTCGAGATCGAGTCGAATCATGTCACTGTACTTGAGACACAAACTGATCCTGCGCCAGGATCGGCCACGAACCACTGCTGCCATGCTTGCAGATCCGAACGAGCAGTTGGAATCCATCCAACGACAGCTGCTTCATGGCTTTAGGGGGGAGAACAGACTTAGCACTTTGCTGCCCAAGTTCAACCACTCGATGCCGTCCGCCCACTCAGTCATGATCACCAAGTTTTGAGCTCCTACTGTATCTATCAGGTAGGACCAAGCTAGTGCGATCGACCTCCTTGGTATTCATTGGAGGTTTTTCGCTATTTTGGCGGCCATGTTCCGCCAATAATAGCCCTTCAAAGTTTGCACCACAGTGAACTTGATCACTGCAACAACTGGCTTTGTACTAGTACTGATCTAACGTTGCCTACTTACTCCCTTTACTTTCTACTCGCAGCTGCTGCTTTGGCGACGATGGCGTCCACGGCATCTGCTACCGACTCAAATGTGCAAATGTCATGTCTCGAAGCTGTTTCCTCGAGGTACATTCTGGCGCGGACGAGGTCTTTAAACTCGCGGCCGGTCACGGCACGGCCATCCTCCACCACCACGAGCCCTTCAATCATGGGCTCGATGACCAGAATCACGGCGCGTCCACTGCATACGAGCGCGATCGTATCGATCATGGCGGCGATGCTTCTGCATGTGTTGGGAATGACCATAAGCACAAGACCTGCCTTGACCTTCATGAGTGAGTCCATCTTAGAGCAGTCGCCCAAGGGACTGTAGTACGGCAGCCCCGCCATTTGGAGGCGCGGGATGGCCAGAGTCGCGCGCCAGTTGGTGTTGGTGACGTTCCCGCCCAAGTACACGAGCTCAATCGTGTGGTCGATGTCGGAACTGCTACCGCCGTCGTACTCGATGACAGAGCTGGACGAACTCGATCGTTGAAAGGCGTTCGGCGGCGTCTTCTTCTTCATGCGGCTAAGCACCACGGAAGACCGCTTGCGCAGCCGCGCCGACCGAAGTGAGAATGAACGGCGGGGGTCCAACCTGGAAGAGGAAGCCAGGTGCGCCGATAGAATGTCCACGGCCGCCTCTACGGACGAACACAGCGTCGTGTGCGGGTACTCCATGGAGAAATGCCGTAAACATGCGCGCGCGTCGTTCAAGTCGGCGATCTCGAGCGACGACAAGCACGTGCCTTCGAGGAGCACTTGCTCGTGCAATGGCATGTCCTCGACGACGAGCAGCACGGTCCGACCGCAACACATGAACTCGGCGGCTTCGTTCATGCTCACGATTGCCCGTGTGCAGTTGTCGATGACGAATAGAACCACGGACGCTAGATGAGGATACATCGTAAGGAATGGGGAGTTGAGAGGTGGAGATAGATGTATGTATGCATACCTGTGTCTTTGGCGCGAGATTCCACGGCAATGAGGTCTTCGTACCACTCGTCCACCTGCGGGTTGTAGAACGAAATGCCGGCCGCATCGAGACGGGGAATGGCCACATCGCGGCGCCACGTCGTCGGGTTGCAGCTCTACGCGTGAATCGACATGAGGATTGGCATGTGATGGAGCAAGGTACCCCGCCTAAGAACACATCCACGGGAGGGTCGTGGACAGGCGACGACGGCGGGAGCGTCGACGAGCGATGGGAGAAGCGCGGACACCGCTGCGTGGGTTGGAGAGACGTCACTTGGACCTCGGGACTCGAGTATGATCGATCGAGCGGACTGCGCTTCGGAGGAAGTCCCAAGTTGGCGATCATGATGGCGGCACCTTGTGGAATGCGGTATTTGGGTGGTTTTGATTGGCGGAATGAATGTGATGTCCATACCGTAATAATTAATTCCCTCTGTATTAATATCCTGATCTTTAAAGATGATATTGCTTTATCTTGATGTTTGTATGGAACTTAAAAGTACCACAGGTTGAAGTTTGATACCTTACCACTATTACTTGTAAAAAACACCTTCTGTATTTTAAATGGCCAATGGGATCACACATACATCAAAACGAACCAATCATAGTTGTCCAATGGTTCTCAAAGAAACCCAACGCAAAATTCTTCAAATTTACAAACCTCAGTGAGACATCTGATTGGCTAATATCCATTTCACCCTTGCAGGTAGAAAATCGAACGAAGAGAATCTTTGGATTGACCATTAGTACCGAATCTCCAATATCAGTTGCTTCAAACAATAGATACTTTTGCGAAGTGAATATTTGACTTTTCAGCCAATCGGAGGCTCGTATTACACATTGCCATGCATGCGGAAAGAATACTACAGTAATGCAACCCACACATTAATGTAACTACACTCGAATTTGCGGTCCAGTTGAAGAAATTGGATAGAGCTTTCTTCCCATGTATTTGTATAACTGTACTGCGAAAGATTATTCTACAACGGTAATGCGTCAAAAGCATCGCTTGATTCAATGGTAATCTCGCGTACAAGGACTCTAACATGGACATGTTAACAGCCGGGTTTGGCCGGCAAGAATGGTTCGATGAAGCTGCGCGCGGCAGACACCCGGGCATATACCCCCGGGATGTTCTTGGACGCGCACGGAGGCCCCCAGCTGGCCAGCCCCACGACAAACTCGTCCGCTCCTTTCCACACAGTCAGAGGGCCCCCATTATCCCCAAAGCACCAGTCCTTGCTATCCCCCCCGGCGCAAAGCATTGACTGTCGAAGCGCCCTGAACGGCTTCACAGCCGCCGCGCACGCCGCTTGGTCCCAAATAGGAACGTCGGCTTGCAGCAGTACTTGGGAGAACTGGTTCGAGTTGGTCGCATTGAGGCCCCACCCGCGCACCCATGCAATGGTGTTGGGGGGGGCGTACTCGTCGTCGTCGAACGCGACTTTAACAGGGGCGGCGAACTTCACTGCAGTTTCGAGCTCGAAAATCGCAAAGTCGTACTCGAACGAGGTCGCGTTGAACTGAGGGTGCGCCGTCTTCTTGACGATTTTAACACGCTCGCCATCTACGTTGCCCTGGAGGTAGTGCGACCCCACCGACGCAAACGCAAAGTAAGACTTGAGGCAGCTCGCGGAAGTGAGCAGCACCTTGGGCGCGATCAGCGCCGCCCCGCAAATTGACTGGCCGACTTCTGTCGCCCGAAGCCCCGTCACGAACAGGTGCTTGCCGATGGGGGCCACCGTGCCGTTGATGATGCGGCCATCCAAGGGGCTAGCGGTGGTAGCAGCGACGGAAGAGGCCGCGGCAATGACCTGGAGGGGGCTGACCATGGCTGGACGATTGATAGAATAACGTTAGATATGCAGCCAATGTGGGGGCAGGACAAGATAATGGTCGGGATCATGCATACAGTTGTACAGTAGTAGACCATGTGCGGATGACACATGGCACGTTGGGTGTTGTTGGTAGTTTGACCCAATTCAAATGTACAATTCCCCTATTAAAACAGTTCCACTGTGTGATTTCTTTGAAATTGTCATTTATATGGATTTGAGTATACTATGATCACCTCACCACTTACTAGGGGTTAAGTGCCCCTCAGTGGTTAGCGATAGGTAACCACTGTGATGCAGTAGTTAACCGTGGGGATTTAGCGCTATATGTACTCATCGGGGGTAGGATGGAATCTCAGGTTACAGGGTTAAGTAAAGTGTATCCGGATGGCATAATTACCTCATTGACTGTGAAAGTCATAACAACAGTAACGTTAGAACGGTTTTAGTCGGGGAATTGCTCCAATTCAAACTCTTTGAAAACTGTTTTGTGCGGCCTGATTTCTGGTTATGTAGTGGGTATTCCTGATTGAACTCGTTCTTTTTGATTGGACAACACGTGCAATCGGTAGCGAATCAAGAACGACCCCCATGGATCCAATCGACTTATGGATGTCGTGGCCGCGCTACCAACCACGATAACGTCAGCCCACGGTGATGATGCCGCACCTTGAAACACTGCTGAGAATTTACGTCAACGTTGGTGTTTGTAAGCAATAATGCTTGGTAAAAGTTGATAAGGACAACTTTGAGGTTAAGAAGTGCGTTAAGTGGCAGCCACTGTGCCGATGAGAGCGACGCCTCCTTTGCCGCTGGGGGTTTCCACTTCCAGCACGCCTTGAATCGCCCCTGGGGTGGTAAAAGTGACGACGAGGGTGACCGTGGCTCGGAGGCCTGGGGCTACCTTGGCCTTTTCCTTGTCGTACTGGGCCTACAAATAACAAATCCAACTAACATCATTCAAATATCTGGCTAGTTGACCTACGTACCACAGCATAGGGACAGTCCACGCCTCCACTGTTAACACGAAGTGCTCGAATACGAAATCGTTCTTGCTTGGTGCCGAGGTTGTGTACTTTGACAGGAAAGTGGTACGTGTGGTTGGCAGTGACCATATGAAAGTTGACAATACTTGGTTCGATTTCAACCACCGACGTAGGAAAAGTATTTTGAACCGACGGGGACTTGGGGGGTTGTTTGGGGGTACTTGACGGCGAGTATGGCCAATGCAGCGTATGTTTGTAGTCGGACGAGTACGGTCGTGATTGGGGCGAGTGGGGCGGAGATGCCAACAGCGTGAGGCCGTCGGATGTGCTGGGGCGCCGTGTGAGTTGCTGAGCAACGGCGTACTTGGGGATCCTAGCCTTGGCAAATGAGTGTGTGGCCACGGGTCTTGGCGAGTACAGCTGCTGCCGAACAAGTGCTGCGTACGACGTGTCTTCAAACAGGTCGACATGATGGCCCACCGCCGCCTTGTCTTTGAACGGACTCACAAGTTTGCGCTGGGAAAGGGCGGGCAATGTGATCGTAGCTCGGGGCATCGACGTCGAGTTGCCCTGGACAAGGGTATGGTGGCCTCGATCTGTGAGCGTCCATACTGCCTTTTCGTCGGTTTCCTTCCTAAAATGATATATGCCATTTGGTTGAAAACTATCGCACGTTCAACGAACAGACCAGAGGGACTCGTGGTGCGTGGCTACGGCCACGCGGTACTGATGCGCGTGAAACTGCGGTGGCCGGCGGTTTAGTGTACCAAACCGCTTGGAGTATTCCTTTTTGAAGTCGTGGATGTTTTGGGCGTTATGACGGAGGATAAAGTCGTCTTGCCGGGGCTTTGGAAGGGACCGACAGCTGTAGTCCTTCTGCGGGGTATATGGGCCATAGTCTTGCAGCACTTGTAGCATGAGACGACCCTTTTCGTCCAGGACGTTGCGGGAGGTACTGGTTTTCGACGGAGATGACTTCACGGGTAGTTTTAATGTGGCGGCGGTGCTGCCACGAGTGGAGGACATGGGAGGAGGTTTGTCTGCCGCCGGCCGATGGGACTTCGTCCGAGAGAGTAGCGAAGAAGGGCACTCTTCGATGCGGAGGTCCAGAAGAGACGTCGACGACTCCTCCTCCATCGTATTGCTCGCTCCTCACCAACGTACACTAAGTAGTGTATTTATAAACCCAAAGTTTTGACTTTGAAACGGGTTATGTTATCACGCGGCTGAGATGTCCATTAACATGGTACTACTAATTAATACCTCTGGTTAGGCAAACATTCAATGAAATACAAAAACCAACTTCTTCGAATCTGTAGTAAAAAAGTTTACACTACCATCAGTCACAGACGCGTATCCATCAATTCCAATGCAATCGCGTCATCCTCAGCCACATTATTGCTCCGAGGGATCTTGTAGCTGTTCCCGCCATTGACCCCAACAATCGCATGCATTAACCGTCGCCAGGTTCGAAACGTCTTCTCCAAAGTCAATGATGGCAGGCACTTGAACGATCCCTTGACAGGTCCTCCATGGACCGACATTCCATTTGCTGCTACAGTGACTGAATAGAGTTGAAGAAGCCCAGGTCTAGACCTGGTTGGATGTTCCAACCACCCTCAGTTGCCGCTTGAACTAACAAGGCATCGTCAACAGCAATGTGCCCCATTTGTGTTTACTTGCTGAAGTGCCATGCGCTTGTCGTTCGTCAAATTTGATTTGGAATTTGTACTCCGAGCAGAAGGAGCGACGCAGCTAGTGCGAATGTGGTCATATAATTCAACAAAAAATATGATGAGAATCGCCTCAATGAAACGAACACGATCCACTAAGTTTTAGGCCAATCAGATAACTGGAACACTAATTTTTGTTACCACCTGCACTTAATAGTACCTACAGAGGTATTAATAGTTTCAATACTAATAGATAAAATACAATGGACATTTCAGTACTACTAGTACAGTACTAGTAGTACTAGTAAATAGTTAAGCTGACGCAAAGGACGGGTACGATTGCAGTGACAGGTACAACCAGACAAGTTGCAAGTCGCTATTCGAATACTACAATGTTAGTTCAACAGCTATACCAGTACCTGTAATATCATACGTTGAAAAATTGCATGCTTAATCGTAGGATATTAACACCAATACACGAAAAATCAATCCATCCTCGAATATATATTACTATTACGTCGCCATTTGTTCCCTCAGGTACGCCACCACGTGTCGTCGCCCGGCCTTCTTGGCGAATTCCATGGCTTCGTCCACGTCGCACTCGTCACGGTGATCCAGTAGAAACTTCACCACTTCCAAATGTCCTTCCTTCGCCGCCTCCGTCAGCGCCGCTTCCGTGCATCCTTCGGACCGATGTTGGTGCAGGAATTGCACAATTTTCAAATGCCCTCCTTCGCTCGCCTCGTCCATTGCGTCTTCCGTGCACCCTTCGCTGCGATTCGCATGCAGCCACTCGACCACTTCCAGCTGGCCTTCCGCGGCGGCGCCGTCCATCGCGTCGGACGTGCATCCTTCGGTCCGGTGTTCATGCAGGAATTGCACCACTTTCAAATGTCCATTCAACGCCGCGTCGTCCATCGCGTCGGAGGTGCAGCCGTCGTTCCGATGGGTATGCAACCACTGTACGACCTCCAAATGACCGCCCTCCGCCGCGTAATTCATAGCCATGAAGGTAGCACCGGCCGACGTGTGGACGTGCAGCCACTTCAACACGTGGAGGTGGTTGAACTTGGCCGCCCAATTCATCGCCTTTACGGTGCAATGAGCATCGGTGGGGAGATGGGCATGGAGAAAGGCCAGCACGTCGACGTGTCCACTGCGCGCGGCAACATCCATAGCCATCTTGGTGCTCCATCGATCCGACAACATCAAAGAACGAGAGAAAAGGAAGGCGAGGACGTCGACGTGGCCGTAGAGACACGCGTGGATCACAATGGACTCCTGCAACAGCGGCAGGTCGACCCAGAGCTTGGCGAGTCGTGAAATGTCGTGCGTCTTGTACCATGGGGCGAGAACAGCATGCAGGGTTTCGAAATCCTGCTCTTGGATGGAGAACTGCCCGTCGGAGATCGCGGTAAGCGCGGGCATGACGTGTTGGAACGGGAGCATGTCTTGATGCAGCCCTCGTTGGTAATCGAACACACATCCGAGTAAATCGAAGGATCGCAATACAATGTCGGACGTAGCAGCCATGATGAAGGACGATGGAGGCGCGAGGACGGAAAGGCAGGCGGCTGTGGGAGCCTTGGCCGACAAGATTGGATTTCGATTGTGAAGTCAAACACCCACTGAAATCTACGACGGCATGTGATTGGTCGGGGCCGTCTATATGTTTAAACGTGCTTCTTTGACGCGTTTTATACCTTCAAACTGGGCGAAATACCTGGGTTTTAAGACACGTTAAAGGCCAGAAAAGAGCGTTTATTAGGATGCATCCGCAGTAATGGCTGCCAAAATTGATTGTCGCGTATAACGGACTTTTTGTTATAAGTTTTATAATTTTACCCTCTTTATATAACATTTGGAGGGCAAACCACACCATCTGGACGTCCTCGACTACAGCTTACCGCACATTTCGTGACTTATAGTTAGTTGCCCATTGTGGATCTATCCATGTGATCGCATCAGATGTATTGCTGGTACTTTGACAACGCAATTTGGCTCACCACAACCGCAAACGTTGGCTTGATATCATAGGCTGGGTGGGACCTGGAAGGGCGACGTTCTACCGATAATACATACATACAACTTTAGACTATGGTTAACGATAGCACTAACGTCAGTAGTATACTGTACTTTACAGTTATGTGGCGTATCTGTTTGCAATCACCAAAGGACGTTGACGTTAATTGATGGCTGATAATAACATATCGATTGTTACATTCACAATACAACATCGCCAATGATCCGTTTCAGGTTTATTATATTTTAAACACGCCTGCCAGCCAGTCAAAGGCAGCGACCAATGGCATGTCGAGGATCTACGTCCAGTGCTATTTTATGGCTGACTTTGGAATTGGAATAAGCTTACCAGTAGTATGTTCCATATTGCGCACCTTTACTGCGGCGGCAGTGTCTACAGTATCTCACTGATTGATCACCACGCAGCGAATTCGATGCCAACATGGGCGCCCAACATCAGCGAAACAGGTCGAAAGATAGGCAGAACCCATGAACTTCTACTAAAGTTAACGTTATAATAGTTAACTTTCTACAGTCTCCTGTGACCATGGATGGAAAATACTGTATTTCAACGAACCTTCGTTTGATTTCAGAGTGAAGATAGCCATTTCGATTCCGTGATGCGGTGCAGTCAGTCATCAAGTCCTTCTAAACCAGGATCCGTGTGAATTCTTTGAAGCCATCCATGTATTGATTGTCCTTTGCTCAAATTTGGAGCTGATTCGAGAATTGATTTGTGTCAGATTTGTAAGCTTATTCAATGTATGGTATACAAATTTAACGATCTACATTTTGGTTGTACATGGTCGAAGATGCTTCAAAATTCTCAATACTGGTACTCCCTCCGTCCCAAAATACTTGCGTAGTCTTGGGGAGGGGGGAAATGACTCGCCATTATATTTGCAAGTGATTTTCAAACTTGTCTGTCGCCCTTCGTTGAATTTCACGTGTTTCATTGGTCCATATGAACAAGCGCGCCAAGTCCTGTCAATTCATATGTCAGCGAGGGAAAAATACACTGGAACCTTCACAGAAGTCGCTCGCAAAGTTCTCATACTTTAAATCATATAAATTGGTGACCAACATTCATAATTCCTGACTGTCTTACAGTTCTTTTTACCTGAACAACATTCCCGAAACAACCAAGATGCACTGCTTGATTTGACACATGTTGACGAAATCCCCAATTCTTTACTCCGGAGTACATTTGAGCCAATCCAAATGGTTCTGTTGACGGCTTTCTCTTAAGTTCATATGGTCCCAAAGGCTAGAATCCAAAAAAATATTTCAATGTCGACAATCCGATTCTTCGCATTAACCAAGCCATGAGCATCAAGTCGAGCACCGACGACACCTACGGAACAGACAACACCGACTTTGCTGTGCTAGGCGAAGCATCACCGCCACCGGAACCCAAGGACCCGATCAAGTTTCCAGTGCTAGACGAACCAGCACCGCCACCGGAACCCAAGCACCCGATCAAGTACCGGCCCGACATCGACGGGCTACGGACGCTCGCGGTGGTTCCCGTGGTACTGTTCCACGCGTACCCGCACTCGATCAAAGGCGGGTTCACAGGCGTCGACGTGTTCTTCGTCATCTCTGGCTACCTCATCTCGGGCATCCTCTTCAAAGAAAACGCCAGAAGCTCGTTCACGTACGCCGACTTTTACTCGCGCCGCATCCGCCGCATCTTCCCGGCGCTGCTGCTCGTGCTCACGTACACGCTGGTTGTGGGCTGCTTGTGGTTGCTGGACAAGGCGCTCCAGTCCATGGCCATCACCCTCGTGGCCGGGACGCTCTTTGGGGCCAACATCCAGCTACTGACCGTCCAACAGGGCTACTTTGACGCCAGTGTCAAGGAGAATCCGCTGCTGCACCTGTGGTCCCTAGGTGTGGAGGAGCAGTTTTACATCTTTTGGCCACTGTTCGTGTCCGTGATCCATCGGTTGTCGTTCCGCAAGGCGCTGGCATGCCAATTGGCTGTGATGGTGGCCAGCTTCGCGTGCAACATCCTCTTCTTGGGTTACGGTGGCGAGAACAAGTACTCGTTCTACTTTCCCCTGAGTCGGTTCTGGCAGATGGCGGTGGGTGGTCTTTTGGCGTACATCAACCTACCAGCCATTGGGGATAATTCCAAGCTCATCCGACACTTGACCGACGTGCCAGCGACCCATTCCGCTGTCTTTTCAGTGTGTGGCCTGGCTGCGATTGCAGTTGGCTACATTGTCATTGACGAATCAATGGCGTTCCCTGGCTACTGGTCGCTGCTGCCTACGTTGGGCACTGCCAGCTTGATCTTGGCCGGACCCTCGACTTTTATCAACAAGTACATTCTCGGCAATTCTGCGATGACGTTCATTGGCCAAATCAGCTATGCGCTGTACCTGTGGCACTGGCCACTCCTGGTGTACGCCAAGCTTCGGCACCCAGTCGACCCGCCGTTCTACATGCAGCCGTACTCGATGGTAGTTCTGTCCGTGGTGCTCAGTATCGCTACGTTGTATTTGGTCGAAAATAACTTGCGGCGACGGAAGGCGAAGTGGCTTGTGCCAGTGCTGTTTGGGCTCATGGTGCTGGTTTCAGCGATGGCAGTGGTGGTGTACTTCCTCCCGTCGACGTTTTCGGTCATTTCGGCCAAGATCGAAGCCAACAACAATGAGAGAGGCGAACTCATCGTGGAGGTGGGCATCACGCCCAACTGGAGCCGCGGCCCTCGACAAAAGGAACTCACAACGATCGCAGCTCAAGCTGCGCCCCAAGACTGGCACCCATGGGACGGCGGCTACGTGTTTACCGACGTGTCCAACGCCGTCGAGGACGACGACGGTATTAAAGTTCTGAACGGGAACGCCACTTCGGCGCCTCTGGTGGTCGTACTGGGAGATTCTCACGCGAATATGGTCGCCCCTCGCTTTGCCAAGCTATTCCAAGTAGCCCAAGAAACCAACCAGCCATTTCCTCAAGTCATGTTCCGCACATTTGACGGCACTCCGCCTTTGGCTTGCATTCCGTGGCATGCCGCCAATGTGGCGTTTGTCCAGGCCAACAAGCCCAAAGTAGTGCTGATCTCGTCCAACTGGGTGCAGTTTTTGAGAGCGGGCGCAAAAGAACCGACGAAACTGAGCAACACCTTGGCCTGCTGCAAGATGGGGTACCAAGACGGGTGCGAAAACCAAAGCGAAGCCGACCGCCTTGCATTGGTAAATCACCTGGAAAACGATATCAAAGCGTTTGTGGCTTCAGGGATCAAGGTCTTTGTGGCCACAACCAACCCCGAAGGAGAGATGTTTAACCCAACGAAAATGCTCAGTGGCAGCACCGTTCTGCCGACTCCACCAGTGAGTTTAGCTGCATTTCGACAACAACACAAGGTGATGGTGGACTTGATTGAAGACGCGACCAAGGCTGCGAATGCGACGATCATTGACTTTGCAGACAACCAGTGCTTTCAAGATGTATGCGAAGTGGTGTCGATGAAGGAAGGCGAGCCCGTGTTCAAAGACTCCAACCACTTTCGGCCGTATTATGCACGCAACTACATCACCGTATTGGACCAAGTGGTGGCCGCGGCAATCGTTGAACCGTAATCAGCTCAAAAGGAAATACTAGTACACGTAGTATTAATTACGTACTATAGTACTCCAGCACTTCAAGTATTACTACGTAGTACTAGTATAATGACGTTCCTGTAGTTTGTTCGATTATGGTGTTGTCAATCGCTCGTTTGTAATTATACCTACCGTTTGTTGATACTGACAGCAATGTTGCTGTAGGCAGCATCCAAGACGAAACACCCATGACTTCGACGTCACCACAGCCATGGCACAAGGTCAAGTACTGCACTGTACGGGTAGTAGTAAGAGCATACTAGTACATTCAGACCAATATTTTTGCACTGTACCCTTTTCAACATACTACCTCCAGTGGTTTACTCCTGCCATAAGGGGGAAAGTTGAATATTTTCAAAAATATAGCAAGTTAAAAAATCTGAAAATACATCCAGTGAAGTGCTGAAATCAACCAATCCAATTGGCGTGATACACAATAAAATGAGATGATTTACATTTCAGACACAAAAATGAAAACTTCAATACTCAAGTCAAGACTAAAGCATACGGATAGATCTGAAATCAACCGTAAAACTAGAATGATGAACAAGTTTTGAGCGGCAAATCAAGACGCGCATTTCTTGTTTTCACGCGATAACTCACATCGGACCAGCGCCGTGCCGTTGTGAAGTACCTCCTCTTGCGCGTTGCCCAAGCACCGTGCAAACTACAGCGCGGTGCTATCAACGAGTGGCAAAGATCTTTGGCAAGAATCGCCGCAACATTGCCGACATCTGGGGCCGCGCTAACGTGTCCCTCGGAGGCGAGGGCTTGCCTACGACTCAGACGATACTAGTACGCAATAACATGGCCAGTCTAAAAAAGGGCCTCGTTGAAGTACACGGACTTGCCAGCAAGCATTTGTGCCGTACCTCGGAGTAATGAATGTAGGTTTGCCTAGAAGTACAAATTCTATACTACTTACTGTACAGTAACTGTAAGTAATTAGTATTAGCTTCAGTATCGACGAGCAATATTAATATAAACAGATCTTTTATATTACCTTACAATTCGTATGTGGAGGGGTATATGATTATTATATTTGTGAGGTCTGTGTTTGGCAGCTCTATTTCCGTCCTACATTTTTGAAACGACAGGAGTACACCCGTCTGGAGGTAGTACTTGCAGAATTATTTACTACGTATATGGATTTCAAATATCTGTGATAGTTTTTTGCGTCATCCATCAGCATCCCAACATCATCCAACTATTATATTAGTTCATATTATATATGACCTAATATTAATGTTACAGGTGAGAGTAAATTAGGATGATGCTATTAATAGGTCATTGCATACATGCCTCGTCCGGGAGCGGCACGGCCTACGGCCTACCTGCGCTACCCGAAAAGAAGAAAAGATAGATCATTCGGTGACTTGAGAAGCTGGGATCCGCGCTTTCGTACGGCCGCGCTTGCGCAGACGGCCCCCGGACATTCGAAGCCAACGTTAGGCTTGGTCACTAACTACTGTATTTATTAATTAATTAATATTGCTCGCCAATCTAAAGCTAATATAGAATTTGTACCTTTTTTTTGTCAAACCTACATTCATTACTCCGAGGTTGCGTGCTGGCAAGTCCGTGTACTTCAACGAGGCCCTCTTTGAGACGAGTCTGGATTTGACCTCATTGTCGCCGTCAAAAACGTCAGCTGTGGATAGTGGGATATACTACGCCTCAGCACATCTGTCAATCAGTGTCTCATGTATTTGTATTTCAACCAATGGTATTTCCCAGGATCGTCCAACCAAGGCCAAAATTTCTCATGATCGTCCAAGTTGAACTTTGTCGAAATAATTTTATTCCAAATCGTCCAAGTAGTTTTCATTGGCTAAAAATACTTGGTTAAAAAAGCTATGTCGTGTTTTCCATTGCCATTCCAGAATTCCACAGACCGTGCCGCGCCAGAACGCAGGCATGGACCAAGCACATGCTGGAACATCGGTGAGCACGATCATCCTTCCATAACGTTAACCTAACGGTGTGCTCGAGTTCTGTCGTAGCTGTGCAGTCAGCCCACGGCCGACCCGCCGCAGATT